GCATTCCTTGAGCAGGGACCGACCGTCCCGGCATTCCTATAGTCCTACCACGGAGTGTTCTTAGAACCCAAAAATGTTCGAAGAACAAATGTTCTTAGAACATAAACCCGATGTGATCAAACAAGACAGGCTCCGCCAGCAATGTTCTAAAGAACAGTTCGTGGAAGTCACAAAAAAGGTTCTTAGAACATTGCTTGGTGAGGCTACAGGCGAGCCAGGATGCCTCGCCACGGCCTGAATTCCCCGGGCAGTGATGGCACTTCGAGGTTCTCGCCTGTTGAGGCCTGCATCGGCGATGCATCGGAGACATCGGCGATGCATCGGCGACGTCGACGTGAAGCAAATCGGGCCCCACATCGAGCCGCCTCGGCGATACCTCGGCGATACATCGGCGATGCCTCGGCGATGCGGCGCGATCCTCCGACCCCATCTACTCCGACCCCAGCTGGGAGGCCCAGAGCCCGGCCTCCGCATCAACAGCTGCCCTGGCCGGTGCTCAAGCGGATTGGAAACACCGCGCCGGGCCCAGTGGGAGCCAGGCCGTGGCGGGACCGAGGTGGCAATGCGACCTAGCGCATCCTCCTCCAATCCTCCTTCTCCGCTATCAGAGAAACGATGGGTTCGGTTTCTGTCGGGGATTCGGTCTTCTGCCATGCACGGGCCAACGCCCCCATCCGTCCTATCGGCCCAGGCCTAGAGCAAGGGCTGAAGGCAGCCGTAATGGGGCAAACTTGGGGTCAGGTAAGGTTCACGGGGTCATCTTGGGGCAGTGGTGGGGCAATCTTGGGGTCATACAGGGTTCACGGGGTCTTCTTGGGGCAATCTCGAGGCCATCTTTGAGGTCACGGGGCCATCTCGGAAGCATAGGGTCAAATCGGGGACACGGAGTAGCATCAGTTCGGTCGGGTTCGTCTCGCTGCCCTGTTGGGGTCGCGGGGTCGCGCCGGGGTCGTCTTGGGGCCGTCCCGGACCTCCGACGATTCGTTTTTTCGAGTCGCGGGTGCCTGGAGCTCTCGACCCCCTCCCGTTTGGAGTCGTAGGGTCGCAACGGGTTCGTCTTGGGACCGCCCTAGACCTCCGACGACTCGTTTTTTCGAGTCGCTGGTCCCTGGAGCTCGCGACCCCTTCCCACGCGTGCATGAATCCCAAATCGGTTATTGCGCGGTCCTGGGCCCCAGAAGGGGCCCCCAGGGGCCGAGGGCTCTGAACAAAAATCAAGCCGTCGCGATTAATGAGTCCTCTGGTGTGCGGCCGGCCGAGGGGGGGAAATTCGTTACTTTTCCTCCCCGCTCGGGGCGGGATTCGGGCGGTTGCTCGAGAGCGTAGCTGTCACGGAATACCCCCCTTCCCTCTTCCCTCCTTTTTCTTCTCCTCCTCCTTTTCCTCCTCCTCCTCCTTTTCCTCCTCCTCCTTTTCCTCCTCCTCCTTTCCCTCCTCCTCCTCCTCCTCCTCCTCCTCCTCCTCCTCCTCCTCTCCTCCTTGCCCGAACCCGTGGCCCGAGTTTCGGCCACGCTCGCCGGACAGTTTCTGACAGCGAGTTTCGGTGCGCATTTGGCGCGTCGTGGCCTCCTCGTTTGGCGTTGGGTGTGGAAAACAGCAAAGAGCCTGTTCCTTTGGAGCGCTTGTCTGGCTTGGCCTTCTCCGCTCCCCTTCCCCCCTCCTCCTCCTCCCCCTCCTCCTCCTCCCTCCTTCCCTCCCTCCCTCCTCTCCTCCCTCCTCTCCTCCCTCCTCCCCCTGCTCCCCGCCCCCTCTCCTGCCCCCGCCTCTCCTTCCGTTCCCCCCCCCCCCTTCCTGGGAGCGGCGCGCGCCGCGCGGGGCGGCGCAGGGCCCTGGAGGCCCTCCGCGCCCTTGATCGCCGTCGACTCCGCGAGCCTCCAGGCGGGGCTCCGGCGGCCGAGGGCAGAGGCAGGACAAGGAGGGGGGAAGGGAGGAGAGGAGGGCAAAAGGGAGGGGAGGCGAGAACAGGCAGCGGCACATGGAGGGGAGGGGGGGCAGGCGGGGGAGGAGGCGGAGGCGGCTCTATCTATGGGGTGCCCCGCCCACCCCAGGGCCCCAAGAGAGCCCCCAAGCCGCCGAGAGGGCCCCAGGAGGGCTCGAAGAGCTGGTGATCCAGGCGGCAGGGTGGCACTTTCACAACGGGGTGGAAAAGTGAAAGTGCCACTTTTCCCCGCAGGGGCGGCGCTTCCACGGCGGCCCCGCCACGGGGACGGCGGCCCGCCACGGGGGGGAGAACGGGCCCCTCCAAGACGGCCGAGGAGGGCTCCAAGTGAAAGTGCAACTTCCTTCTGGGGGCCGCCGGGCCCCTGCCCCCCCTCCCTTGTCCCCCCTCACTCCCAGGGCGGAGAACCCTCGCGTTCCCCTCCTTTCCCAAATTTATCCCAAGCCGGGAACCCTTACTTTCAGAAAATGGTAACTCTTCAATCGAAGGTTCCCGGCCCTGGAAAGGCTTGATAAAAAGGGGGGACGAGGCCCTCTTGGGCTGCATCGGCCCCTCCAAGACAAAACGGCCTGGGAGGACCCAGTGGGGCTTCTGTGGAGGTCACCATCCATGAGGGCGTCAAGATGGTCCCAGAACGGCCCAGGAGGGCCCCAAGAGGGATCCAAGGGGCACCCAGGAGGACCCCAGTGGCGTATATAATTCGAGGCTTTGGCCACATAGACCCCTGGAACCCTTCGGGGAGGCCCGAAAGAGAGAGTCCAGGAGGGGCCCCAGTGGTGCATATGACTCGAGGCTTCGGCTATGTTCACCCCTGGGGCCTCCTCTCAACTTTCTCGGGGCCCC